TGCCCCACCCCTGTACAAAACATCGGTTAATCAGAATTTTTCACCTTGACTACAAAATAATACTATTTCTAAGCACATACTGTAAGCTGGTGTCATAGAGTAATAACGATAAAGAGAGATATCAAAGTTTTAGTTATAATAGCTTAATAAAGGCATTATTGTAGCAAAAGTTGTAATTCTATCTGCATAACATATTTTATTTATTGTATTATTAATATATAATGAAACAATAGTTTTTATGTAACTTCGTTAGTGCAACATGTGTGATACAGGACAATGAGTAATTTGGTTTGGAGCCTGTCCCTAAAAAAAATTAAAAATGTCATTATGATGGTTGGTTGCAGGATTCACAGAGTGCTTTAATTTATTTTTGGACAACATGTTTAAATTCATTTGGAGAAAAAAGATACAGTTAAAGTTTGATTTTGTTAGTCATGTTTTGTTGCGTTGGCTTATTCAGAGATATTATGGATTTAGTTTTTGCGACATTGTTTGAGCGTCTAACTTATCTAAAATTTGCCATATCTAGAAGCAACTAAACATACCTAATCCATCACATAGTTATGACCAAGCGTCATTATCACATTTGGTCCACTTAGCCTGCTTCTAAGGTTCTAACGAGACTAAACAAACCACAGAATAAGATATCAATTAGGAAAGGACATGGTTCTTTTAACAAACACTTATCTCTGCATAGGGAACTGTTTTTAAGACCTGTGAGCAAAGTATGTATGAGGGACAAAGAAACGGCAGCATGGCTCTACCACATATGAAATGCTGCTTGTGTGTCCAAAGGTTGCAACATATGGGACTAAACATCTTGACACAACAAGGTCACTTCCTGAGATTGTCAAAAACATCAAAGGGAACTGCTGAAGTTCTTCAAGTAGATTTCACGGATTGAATAATTCTATTATTCTGACCCCCCGTAAAACTTGCGCTTTAAATGTGAAGTTGCAAAAAACAATCCTTAGCAAACTAAAATAACATAGATATAATGTATGCCATATCTATTTCAAACAATATAATATTCTCTCAACTTGGGACGTCTATTTCTGAGACGAAAAATATCTCCTGCTGCGGGTGTCTTAGAAATGGATGATTTCTTACTCGCTTTTTAAATGAAGAAGAAAGCATTAATATCTATGTGTAACTCTTTCTACTCTGTCGATGTGTACAGGATAAAAAAGGTGTATTATAAAAACCCCACAGCTGCATGGCTCAAATAACCACATATTCCTGCCCACACGCAAAATACGCGCTTAGATGTTGCAGAAAACAGCCCATCGTAAACTAACTAACTAACTAACTCCACAGCTTGCACATTTTATTAGGATTTTTTATCTACATCATCAGTTGATTTTGTCTGTCCCTTGAGTCAGCCATCAGTGTGATTGACGTGCGCTAACATTGTAGTTGTAGGGTAATTGTAAGCTGCATTTTATGATGAAAATTTTTATTGTAGCCTATAATTTTGTACATAAAATATTGTAAATAATAGATTTAAGCTTAAAATTAAACAAAATTTAACTATAGCTTTGTTTCATTGAGAAATATGACAATTTTGACTTTACTCAACATTTACTTACATTATTTACTGCGAGACTTTATTAAATTTATATACCATGATAAAGGAAATTTTATAGAGAATTAACATTACATGTTATAGTATTTGATATACCAGAATCAAGAAATTTGCGTTAAGATGGACTGCGCCCAATCAGCCGCCCATTTTATTAAACAGCTCCACAGTCAACAGAGTAGGGGTGTTAGTCTCCGCAGCCGAAAGGATATAGGCTCAATGGTAGAAAACCAATAATTTGAATATTGAAGGTTCAAACTTTTGTGAAGGATTGACCTTATTTTTGTGTAACATTTTAACCTTATTGAAGCAACTAAAGAATAGACAGCATATGTGTAGGTTTTTTCACAGTAAAGTAAAAGTAAAGTTACAGCCTATATACGTCCCACTGCTGGGCACAGGCCTCCCCTCATTTCTGAGAGGGTTTTAGGGTAAGGAAGTATCCGCCGCGCTGCCCCATTGCGTGTTGGCGAACTTCACATGTCTTCGAAATATTTTTTTCTTATTCCTCAGACATGCAGGTTTCCTCACGATGTTTTCCTTCACCGCCGAGCACGTGGTAAATCAGCACTTAAAATTGCATTTAACAATTTCATTGGTGCCGGCGAGGATCGAACCCGGGTTACTCGCATTCTATTATATTTACAGCGAGCGTTAACCATCTGAGCTACCACGGCTCTTACACAAAAAAATATTTTGGTTTTTTCACAGGATATACAATAATGCATTTAGACTTGGCACCATTGCACATGGTTACTTCTATACTGGTAACAATTTGGTGCTTATATTTCTGAGTGTCCTGTCAATGTCACAATAGGTGTAATAGAAACACTTCTTTTGTTTGCTGTGCTTATTATATATACCAATGCAGGATAATAATTATCAGTTTTTGCAGGAAAATTAGACAAATCAATCAGTCAAAGATTTTGTGTCCAGTGGTTTCATCATTTTAAATACATTGTTTTCTCAAAAATCAAAAAAACTATCTAATCAAAGATTTGTGTTGTGATTTCGTCATTTTGAATACATCCTCTTTAAACCAAACAAAAAAAAAATAATTTCTAGTTGCTTAAACCGTATATTTTACAGTGCAAGCAACCAAGTTCAACCCATGTTGGCAACAATGACAAGTTTGAGAAAGTCTGATTTATAACATTGTCACCGTTCCTTAAAATTTCTTAATGTAGTTTCTTAAAGTAATTACACACATACATATGCATAGACAGAACCTACAATTCTAGATAAATTGAGTCAGTATACTTGCTCTTTCAAAATTAATTTTCAAAGAAGGCAAAAAGAAACAAATCTATTGAAAGATGTTACATGTAATTCATGTGTGGACATAGAAATGGCAAGTGGTCATCTTTGGTCTCCTTATACTATGCCAAATATGAGAGTAAGTATACTCATATGTTCTGATTTACTAGAAAAATTACATCCCTATTGTAGCAGTATTATGTATGACGTTACTTTACAAGATGTTATGTCTGTAATCTGTAGTGATTTTGTTTGCAATGTTAACAACAATCGACATTGATATACTCATTTTGTTCAGTTATTTAATATTATTACTTTATATGCCTAAAAATATTTTAATAAATAGGACCAAACTTATTATTATTCGAACAATTAAGTAAATTGTTTTCTAAATCAAGTGATAATGATTATTATATTTCATTTCAAGTATTTATTTCGCAAACTTTAAAAACTAATAATTATAATAAACTAGTAATATCAATACTAAGTGTTGACAAACGCAAGTAACATGGGCGAGTTGGATCCCATTTGTAATCATAACTTTATATGATGACTGATGGGTTTCGCATAGTGAGTGGAGAGAACAGGTGACCTTTTGTACTGGAAATGAAGCATTCTATCTTCATTCTGAGGGGTGACAATGCATCTGCATTTTGATTTTTAATCAAGGATAAATGAAGATGTCTATGGGACACAGCATCCACTTACCATCAGGTGGCCTGTGTGCTCGTTTGGCACCCTAATTGTATAAAAAAAAACTATTGTAGAAGTGCCTTGTGTACATTGTGTGACACAAACCCAGTGTCGATTAAACGAACACAGTTATTATTCCTTCTGAAACCATACTAAGTTTAATTTGGCAGAAATATACCAGCTGAATCGAAGATTTCATAGTGAATTTTTCACGCTATATTTTAAATTATACAATGATAGTACGAAATTCTGCATTGTTCAACTATGTTTTGTTGTAAGATGTCAGATGAAGCTTCCATAAACTTTTGTTAATATAAATAAGTATTACGAAACATATTAATAAAAATCCTTAATTTTACTAAGTCATAGACTAAATGAATTTATCGACAACATTCTTGTTTCGCTAATTGCACATCAATAGATGTGTCTATAGAATGGAAAAATGGAAACCGCCTTGTAAAAGAAAGAAGGTGAGAATAATATATGTAGACAGAGAAACCTATAGACAAATTGACGCCTTCTTTCGCATTCGCACACAAAAAAGATAGATATATGTATACATCTTGCATAGAAATGAGATGGAGCGGTGTGATTGTTTGTCCCTTTCTCCATGCCGGTTTTTTGTTTAGCAAACTACACTTTGCTAAACAACTTTGACAGTTCTTAGCAATCTAAGGAGTTTACAAGTTGGTTTAAGTGAGCAAAAAGTGTTTTGTGAGCTTGAGATTGGTGAATCTTGTTCAGTTTAGTTCTTAGAACAATTAAAATTTTTATCTAAATATGTTTAAAAGTCATAAAGGTTATTGTATAACCTAAAACTACATTATCATCCTTTCTCACTCAAGGCCACGCTAATCATTAGTCTATAGGTTTCTCTGTCTACGATAATATAGCTGTCTTATTTTGTACAATATTAAATGTCATATGTGTAAAGACTTAAGCTATAAGAATTTTGTTCTTATTTTAAGACTCTCTATGCTAGTAATTACTATGATATTCTTACAACCAGCAACACAATCAGTATCAAAGATAAAGGTTGCAAATGCTATAAACAATTATAATACAAATTTTACGCTTACATTTTGTTGCCATATATTGACATATTTTTTACTAAAGTAACAATCATAGAACAGCTGATAACAAGATCTAAACGTGTGCCAAGTTTTATTTATTTTTAAAAAGGTGATTGACTGTAAATAAAAACATTTAGAATTGAAAATAGTTCCAAACATAAATATTAGTCATTATTTGTCTGATTTGTCCTAAAATAAGGTCATGAAAAACAAAACCTAAAACCCCATTTCTTACTTTTTACTTCAAAATATAATTACAAAGTATAGTATATTATGGCCTTGAGTCTTACCCTAAAGCAACTCAGATGCGTACGTAATTTCACAACCCTAGGCGACCTCCTTTTAAACGAAAAATCTTTTTGAAAAACTATTTGACGGTTTTATCAGTCACTTACCTCGCCATTAGCGGTGTTTATACCCAGATAAATATCACCAAACGATCCGCCACCGATTCTTCTAATGATCCTATATTTTCCTGTGATAAGCAACTCCTTTTTGTAAGCCAGCATACTTTGAAAGGACATGATGGTTGATTGATTGTTCTCTTATTTGAATAGAATACACGAATTTTGTTAAGAAACTACACAAATGTCTTCAAACACTACATCAACAAGTTTTGACACGCTACCATTTCTATTTCGTGATGTCGTGAACAATAAGCAAAACGGAAAGATGAAAGATGTAAATTGTAAAAAAAGTAGTAACTGGCTGGTAGCAGCACGTTCCGTTTCACATCACTATAAAAAAATTAATTAAGATATTTGGCTTGGATGCTTGTCTTTTAAGTAATTGATGCGGCTAAGAGTGTAATAGGTGAGAAAAACATTAAAAAAGACGAAGATTGGTTTGACGAATAATGTAGAGAAGCTATAAAGAAAAAGAACGAAACGCGGCTAAAATATCTTCTAAATAACACAGACCAAAATAAGGAGACCTACAGAACACAAAGAACTAAATGTAAGAAAATGGCTAGGAGAAAAAAAAGATACACTGATAACCACATCATAAAAATATTGTAAAGATGCGAGAAAAGAATTATAGTATGATGTATAGATATTTTTATAAAGAGATCAACAACCTCCGTAAAGGTTACCAGCCCAGAACTAGCCCTTGTCGAGAAAAGTCCAGAACCCTCCTTGCAGAAAAAACTGACGTCATCAAGCGATGGCGTCAATATTTTGAGGAACTATATAATATTAACAACCATGTCGTAACCACAGATGCTCCAACGTATTTTGACGTAAAAGAAAATCTACCGGCTCCTACAGTTATAGATGTACAGGAAGTTCTCCGCAGTTTAAAAAATAATGAATCTCCAGGTCTAGATTCCATTACTGCAGAACTACTGAAGAGAGGTGGTAATGAATTGACGGATCGTATGTATATGTTCGTGTTGCAAGTCTGGAATAAAGAAAAGATGCCCGTAGAATGGAATATGGGTATTACAGTACCTGTCTTCTGTCTGTAGCAACTACAGGGGCATCTCAGTCCTCCCCGCTGCCTATAAGGTGTTTTCAGGGGTACTGTTTAAGCGCCTGAGTGTATATGCTGAGGAGATACTCGGGGAATACCAATGTGGCTTTAGACCAAACCGATCAACTACCGACCATATCCACCTAATGCGTCATCTACTAGAGAAAACTTATGAATATAATATTAATTTGCATTACACATTTGTTGATTGAAGTCTTGCTTGGGTTGGGTTTTAATTTTATTAATTATAGGATCCCAAGCAGATACTAGCACCCAGCCATCTTCTCTATTGAAATTAGGATGTTTTTTGATTTCAATAGCCACGCGAATCGTCCTTAGAAGCAATCAGTGTTCTTTAGCGAGTTCTTTCAAATTTGATGTAGTGATGGGGGTGATCCTGTACGTGTTCACAGACTGCAGACTTCCCGGAGCGTCGATTCTTCACATCAGCTGTATGTTTTATTTTTATACTTCGTATAGAAAAAGATTGTGCACTCTGAAGAAGTTGCATACGTAAAATGTATTCTATGCTATTGTAACAAAGTCTACTTTCATATAATATTAGGCTCAATGGAAAAACGAGCTGAGCCAGATGCCTCTATTAAGGAATGCGTCCTTGTCTATCGAGTTGTAATAGTGAAATATTTTTTCACATAGTAGAATTTTATGATATTTTTTATATCTGTTCTTGTAAAATTTTTTCATAATTATTAAATAAAATTAAAGAGAAGGCTTCATAAGAAAATATTTATACTTATGTATAATTTTCAACCGTGTTTAACTACTTGCTTTGTTCAGTGTCGTAGTTTTGGCAATTTTTAAAAACTATGAGCAACACTAAGTGTCATACAATCTTCAATATGGCGTAGACTTTGTGTGAATCGATGAAAGATATTTTATTTTACGTTAAAATTTCATGTTTTATCGTGTCCAAATAATTAAAAATGGTTCTCACTTGTTGCGTGAAAGGATGCAAAAGTGAAGCATACAAGAGAAGTGGTGTATCTTTTCATAGGTAAATAATTTTGTAATGCTTTAAGTAGGGTGTCCAAATTTATTTCAGTAAAGATATTTTTTTATATAAAATGAAGGATATTATAATGTATTTCTATACGAAGTACATTATAATATCTTTGATTTTAGTCTACTAAAATCTTCTAGCTTTCCATATTACTAAAGCAATTTATGTTATGTTATGAGTTAATGTTTTGTTTGAGAGAATGGGATTTTACCTAGGAGTGTTGGTGTGCACATTTATATTTCGTATGCAACCGTAGACAGAGAAACCTATAGACTAATTTATTGACTAATAATTGATTAGCGTGGCCTCGAGTAAGAAAGGACGATAACGTAGTTTTAGGTTATACAATAATCTTTATTACTTTTAAACATATTTAAATAAAAATTTTAATTGTTCTAAGAACTGAACTGAACAAGATTTACCAATCTTAAGCTCATAAAACACCCTTTTTTCTCACTTAAACCAACTTGTAAACTCCTTAGATCGCTACGAACTGTCAAAGTTGTTTAGCAAAGTGTAGTTTGCTAAACAAAAAAACCAGCACGGAGAAAGGGACAAATAATCACACCGCTCTCATTTCTATGCAAGACGTATACATAAATCTATCTTTTACGAGTGCGAATGCGAAAGGAGGCTTCAATTTGTCTATAGGTTTCTCTGTCTACGTATGCAACGCATAATGAGATATTTTCAAAGCGATACCTACTGTCCGTCAAACATTATCATATCTTACAGATACTCTAGGCTATTTACTTGCTTCAGTTGCCTCTAATGCCACCCCTTCTTTAGACGAGGTACCCCTGAGATGGAAGGCTGTCAAAGTGTTCGCAAGTAGTATCACACACTAAAGATTTATCTCTCTCCCTCAAGCAACCAAACCCATACCGTCGTGTCTCCTGGTATCGTCTCTAAATATTCTACAAAGATCTTAAACCGAGAAAACATTTATAGAGATACGAGCTGCACTACGGACTCCCCGAGCCCGATATGTTAATTGAGCCAGGGAAAAACGAGCACTTGGAAGCATCAAGTGGTGCAGCCTCACCAAAGTCGCGAAAGATAGTCAAGTGGTGCATCGCCAATCGCCATACCAATACTCTTCTTCCCTTACGATTCCACCTCGACTACAGCGGTCCAGGGAGAGGAATTTCCTCTAGCCGCAGCCCACTAACACACATCCAACGTGGCTCGACATCATCAGGCGATCTTTCGACAATTGGCTATGGCCCTTGAGTTTGGTGGAAAATGAGGAAAGAAGAAATAAAAAAAACATTCAAAATAATAATCTATTTGTTCCAAACATGATCATTTTGTTTCGGACGCCAATTCACAATATTTATGCTTTTAAGACATAATTTTAGTCTAGGTTCAGTTGGAAACCTGTTAATTAATAAACATTTGATATTCATCCGTTGTTGGCGACTTTTTTGTTAACACATATGCGTAGGAAATAACATCGATAAGTATTATAGACAAGGAATTCGACAACCCTATTGAATTTTATTGTTTATCAAAACTCAGTAATATACACAAAAACATGTTGGGTATATATGATATTAAGATTATAGTTCGGCCGTTCAGAGAATGCGTTCCTGACACCTATCAGTTAGTCATGACTAGTGATGGGCACAACATAACACTGAGTTCGTTACCGTTCCTCCAAAATGAACCGCCGCGTTATTGTTAAGATTATTATCGTTTTAAATTGGCGGAATTATTTAAAATTTATATTTTAGTAATTTAAGTGGAAACCAAAAAAGGTAATATTAATATAATAAAATTGTTTTATTTATTCTTTGTTACAAAGTTACAATCTGTATTTCTATGCAATAAAGTACATTGAATTGAATGTGCGTACAGAATATTAATCAGACTCCGATTCGCTTGAGGAGGTGGTGTCTTCATCATCATCTTCGCCTACATGTATAATTATATTATTATCAATAACAGAATCAATCCTGATATCTCGGTCAAAATGTTCCACAATCAGGTTTTTAGTCTTCTCAACAACCTTTGCCCAGTCATCTCTTGTGACTTCCCCGCAGGCTTCTTTTAATAGGGTCATCATCTTTTTCGTGCTGAATGGCGGGGAAGTATTGTGGTGGGCGGCGTAATGCGGCGATTCTGCCATAAGGACTATATTGTCGGCAAATCGAAGGTAAGTGACGTACACGCCATTGACGTTAATACCGTATCCTTTCCAGTCCAGTAGGTTGAAAACGTCTTCCAATGCAGCGGTAAAGTATTTCGGGGATATTACGTCACCCTGTCTTACACATCTCTACAGTTGGATTAGTTTTGTACTCTGGTTCTGTACTCGGATAGCCATCGTAGTAAAATATTTTCTACTTTATAAAAATTTATGTTTGTTCGTTTTGAGTTTGGTGGAAAATGAGGAAAGAAGGAATAAAAAATACATTCGAAATAATAATCTAATACTTTTATACTTACTGGTACTGGTACTACAAGAAAATATTGTCGGTATACTGCACTTTTTCAAAGTGGTGCAGTTCTCATGTCTAATAAAACAGTCGTCTGTGAAACGTTTGGAACAAATATGATCATTTTGTTTCGAACGCCAATTCACAATAATTATGCTTTTAAGCCATAATTTTAGTCTAGGTTCAGTTGGAAAACTGTTAATTAATAAACATTTGATAATCATCTGTCGTTGGCGACTTTGTTTGTTAACAGATATGGGTAAGAAAGAACATCGATAAGTATTATAGACAAGGAACTCGACAACCCTATTGAATTTTATTGTTTATCAAAACTCAGTAATATGCAGCCAAAGGTGTTGGTACATATGATATTAAGATTAGTAACAAATTTTTAAGTACTTATATTATCAAATAATTTTAATTTGTTTAATATTTGCTGCAAATTCACTTACTTGTAAAATGTTATACCACTTCCCTTTTGGTAACGAATTTTACGTACGTGTGCGTATCATCTCTCATTATTAATAAAAATAATTCTTATTATGTAACTAATATTATACACAATCAAACAACAAAATAGTTTCGTTTT